ATAAAAACCCTAACTAAAACACTATAGCATTTTATTTTTTAATACATTTTATTTTTAAATACTTGCAGACCAAATCAAGAACATATCAAAAATAATAACCACCATGATCAAGTAGGGTTCATCTCAGAGACAGAGGATTGGTTCAACATATGCAAACTGAAAAACATAGCTGGAATTGACATGTAAAGCAAGCTTGTTTCTAACTTAATTTTTTTAAAAAAAGGAGGAAAAAAAGTAAGCAAACAGGAAAACAAAAACCACACGATCATCTCAAATACATAACCATATTTGTCTTTCCAGAATTATCATACTCAAAATGATAATTTTTAATTCCATATTTATATGTGAATTTCATGACTTTTTTAAATGGCTGGGTCAATGATACCAAGCTACAATCCATAGAGCCACATAAGGTTCACATAAAGTAAGGAACTAGAGTGAACAGACAGATCTCCCTAGGAAAGGGACACAGAATAGATAGTTGTGGATGGATGCAGGTAGGGGAGAAGAGTATAGGTGGATGGAGTAAAGAGGGGAAGGGAACAGGGAGATGAAAGGGGCTGGGGGAATAAGAGAGAGAGCTAAAAATAAGTGCCATCTGATGAGGACAGAAAGCTAACACAGCTAAAATATACACATTATGATGGATAGCTAAATAAAACTGCCAAATAGTGAGGGAGACAGGGTTCAACTGGCCATCTCTTGTCACCAAATGAAACTTCCAGTATCATGAATGAGTTACATCTATTAGAGCATCTGGTAAAAGGGAACATTAAACAAACCAGGTTACTGTCAAAACTAGAGGTTGCTATTTACATAGTGACTGACAGCAAGGTCTTATTGTTGAAGAAAACACCTACAGCATTCATTGAACACGGAAAAGTTGAGCTGGTACTTACACAGAATCTTCATTCCTATGTTCTAGTATCTTTGATAAGAGAAAGTACTCTGCAGGCTCCCAAAAGAGAAATGCCAATACCAACCCTTTGATCTACAATGATATCCTGACTTCAAGATAGGCTATGGCAATGGTGGCACCAAGCTTATAGGTGCAGCCAACCAATATCTGATCTGACCTAAGCCCCACTCATGATCTAGAACCAATACCCAACACTGCCTAAGTGACCAAAACTGAGACTAGATGGCCTAGAGATCTAGGATAAAACCAAATAATACTGTTCTAAAAAAAGAAAAAAGCCAATAATAACAAAAATAAAATACAGCAATAAAATGACTCCTAAAGAAATTCTGCTATACTCATAGGCCAGTGCCTAGCTCAATCATCAACAGAGAAGTTTGCTCCTGAAGCAGACTGGGACAAATACAAAGACCCACAATCAAACACTTACAAAGAATGAGAGTTCTTGAATAACTCAGCTCTTAAATTGGATGTCTCCATCAACACCCTCCCCTCAAGGTTCAGGGATCTGTCCAAAACAGAAGGCAAAAATACATGAAGAGCCAATGGTAATGGATGACTCCAAGGAAATAGTGTCTTCCAGACACAACAGGAATGACACACACTTGGACTCAGAGACTGCAGCAGCAGCATACACAAGCCTTTACATAGGTATAAGCCAGACAGGATCCCAGCACTGAGAGGGGGAAGTTGACATGGAGTGCCACTCCTAATGAAGAAGCTATCTGCAATTGACACTTGGTGTGAAAGGGAAAATCAGTTTTCTACAATGCAGTGACACTAGGTTTATCAATCACACAGCAGGGAAGGCCCATGTTCAGGAGGAGTTGGTCAGCACAAAACAAACTTCGGTTTGGTTTGGGTTTTGGGGTTTTTGGGGGGATCTTTTTGTTCTATAATGTTTTCTCTTGTTGATTTATTGATTTTTATTTGATTGAGAAAGACAGGGAAGAAGGGGAGAAAGAAGAAAGATAATGAACATAAAGTTATATGGGGGGATCTGGGAGGAGTTGGAAGGCAACACGATCAAAATTCTGTATAAAAAATTATTAATTAAAAAGATTAAGCAATCAGAATACAGCTTAGTGAGTGCTTGCCTAAAATATATATGAGGTCCTGAGGTCATTTCCCACTACAACAAAATAACATAAAAGGAAAGAAAACCAATAAATATGACAAAATACAAAGTCTGGATTTCATTAAACAAAGAAAAAAACATGTCACCTAGCATATATGAGGTCTTATATTTAAAACACTGAAAAGACACAAGGTGGGAAACAATACCTTTGACATAATTTTTTAGTTAAGCCTGTACTGATTATGTAGAAAACTAGCATTAAACCAAGTGTCATGTGCTTACACAGAGCCCACTAGCAAGACAGACTCAAATTTCAAGAATAATGAAAAAAAAATCTATACTGAGAACAATGACTATTGCCTATACCTAGTATGATTTTTCTATTTATCATTACAGATGAGTAGAAAGTAAAATCAGGCATAGAATCAGTCCTAATACAGTGAGCCATGCCAGAATACATTAAGAACATCTTCATATGCTATGATGTGGAGCAACTCACTTAAAACAACGCTGACAAAAGAGCAGATGGTTCACCTAGGTCAAATGTTACAAAAAAAGTAAACTGGCAGTCCTAACTAAAGGAAGTTGTACATGAAATCCAGTCTGAATGAAAAAATGCTTCATTCCCTTCTTCCACAAGGTGGCACAAAGGAGGGGGAAAGAAGTAAAAGGAAACAAATGTGTACAGCTGAAAAGTATCTTTTCTGTTCTGATTGCAAACAAATGTGTACAGCTGAAAAGTATCTTTTCTGTTCTGGTTTCAAACAAATGTGTACAGCTGAAGAGTATCTTTTCTGTTCTGGTTTCAAACAAAATGTGTACAACTGAAGAGTATCTTTTCTGTTCTGATTTCAAACAAATGTGTACAGCTGAAAAGTATCTTTTCTGTTCTGATTTCAAACAAATGTGTACAGCTGAAAAGCATCTTTTCTGTTCTGATTTCAAACAAATGTGTACAGCTGAAAAGCATCTTTTCTGTTCTGATTTCAAAAGGGGGGGTAAACAGTGGATAAAGACACTTAGGCAGTTCTCCCTATGGGCTATCCCACCACTCTTAGCACTCAAGATGCAAGGTTGACCAGCAAGCTGTTCAACAGGTAAAGTGCTTGCTACATGAGCTCAATGCTCAGAACACACAGCAAGGCAGAAAGGAGAGAGTCAGTCGCCTTTTCACCAACACAAGCCTGCATCCCAATACACTCATCATCAACAATAATACACAGATAATTTTTAAATGCCTGCAAACCACTCATCTGTTAAGTGTATCAAAAGTTTCATGTAAGATAGGTCAGAATTATTTAGCATATAACTAATTCAGACTCAAATTTTATAGACAATAAATATTTTCAACTAAGTGATACTATATTAAAAAAAACCATTTGTGTTGCTCCTTGGAACAATAACCTAAACATTGTTGCAAGAATGATGTCTTCATGAACCTCAGAACTAAAGTTTATAGTACAGAAACCTCTTGAGAAAAAGTACCCGTAAAAATTATAAAAAATAAAAGGCATTCAGTGGAACACTGCTGTGCACAAGATATTCTTTTTTGTTGTTACTACTACAAGCCATGGTCTTTTATTAAATATATAGCAAAAAATAATAGCAATATAGGCAGTTAATTTATAAACTTATAATTTGACATGGGTAACAACAATGACATGTATGCTTGTATTAGGAAAGGAAGCCTACAGGGCTGAAGAGACGGCTCAGCAGTTAAGAGCACTGGCTGTTCTTCCAGAGGACCTCACTTCAATTCCCAGCAACCACATAATGACTCACAACCATCTATAATGGAATCTGATGCCCTCTTTCGGCATAAAGGCCATACATGCAGATAGAGCACTCATATATTAAATAAAGATAGATAGATCTTAGAAACAAACAAAAAAGGCAGCCAAAGTAATGTAAATTACTTTTTAAAAAAAATCCCAAATATGGGCTAGAGGGCTCAGCACTGGCTGCTCTTTCAGAGGACCCAGGTTCAGTTCCTAGCAGTCACACGGCAGCTCTCAACTGTTTGTAACTCCATTTTCAGGAGATCCAACACCCTCACACAGACATACATTCAGGCAAAACACCAAGGTACATAGATAAATAAATCATTTTTTTAATCCCAAATATTCTTCATGAAAATAATCCCAGAAATTGTTAACAGAACTATTAAGAAAAAGAAGCAGGGCTGAAGAGATGGTGCAGAGGTTAAGAGCACTGGCTGCTCTTCCCAGATGTCCTGAATTCAATTCCCAGCAACCACATGGTGGCTCACAACCATCTATAATGAGATCTGGTGCCTTCTTCTGTCCTGTAAGCACACATGCAGGTAGAACGCTGTATACATAATAAATACATCTTTTTTTTAAAAAGTAGTCTTTCTTCTAAAATACAAACACAAACACATAGCATATTCATAATAAAATTGAACAAAACTAGGTTGCTTTCTCTTCTAGTGAGACTTTTTTTAAATGATGGCTTACATTATGCATTGGAACTCATTATTTGAGCCAGACCTGGTGGTTATATCTTGTAATCCCAGCTATTTAGGAGGGGCAGGGTGAGGTCAAGTTTAAGGCCTTCCTGAGCTACAGAACAAGGAACAGGTCAGTCTAACCAATTTAATGAGATCCTGTCTCCAAGTAAAAAGTAAAACATAAGCTAGGATTAATTCAGTAGGTCACATGCTTCTACAGCACAAAGATGGCCCTCATGTCAACATCTTATACTGTGTAAAATAAATAAGCAAACCTGAGATTCAGTGCAATTACCTTAATACTAAATATCTCTATCATTAAAAAAACATTAATGAGATCAATTTATGTGTAAGAAAAATATTAAAGAACTTACCAATTAAATCCTATTCATTAGACTGAGAAGGAAGAGAAACTATGTGACCCAAGTTATGAAGCAAACTTAAATCCTGTACAGGAGGTTCTGATTAAGGAATGCAGGCTGTGTTACAGTCATCTCTTTTACATCTACCTTACTAACAACTACTTCTCTGACCTTGAACACCTGGCTTCTTGGAGTTTTATTCCCATTGTAGCCCATATCAATTCCATTACTGGGAGATGAGGGGCCAATTCGAAAGACATGACAAAAGATCCTCACAATCCTTAAAAGGCTCTTCATTTGAGCATCATAATTGCTAGATAAGCTGAAAATGAAAAAAGTTAAAACATAAACAGATTAGGTGCAGTCAAAAAAATTCATCATCAAATACTTATTTTAAAGTATATTTAGCCTACCACCCATCGGTTTTATGAATTATCTGTGGCATAATCTCTTTCCATTCTAGGAGACAGAATGGTTTGTTGAACAGAAATATAGTATTAATATGTTGTTATATACTAATTAACTATATATTATTTGTGTTAACAATAAACAGGTTTCTAGTTTGTAACCACCTAGAATATAACCAATGATCACAGCACGAACTATGAAGAAAATTACCCCGACAAAATAGATGGTATCTTTGGATACAAACTTTAGCAATTAGCTCATGTCTAAAAGTATACCTATAAATTAAACCAATTGTTTAGAACTCTGGAAATATTTCCCAGAGGAGCAATAATATAAACATTACATTCTAGGTCAACACACAATACAACCATCTTAACTGAGAGGTTGAAGCCCCATAACTCTATCCATAACTCTATATTCCCTCAGACTAGTAGGAATGAAGAATTCACACAAAGTCACAAATTGTATGCTAATGTTACCAATCATCTGCTCCAGGGTCATTACCTATATAGTGGATTGTCTTATAACTACATCAACATTGTAAATATTCTCAACCATGAAAATCAAAGACCAATTCAGCTAACATTAAACCAAACTGAGAATCACAATAAGATTTTGTGTTCAGAAATTGAATTTATTTTGAACTTCTAACATCAGTCATCTTCTATAACTACTGGGACAGAGGGGGGAAAAAAGAAATAAAAGACCAAAAGCTGCATAAACTTTTGAGCAGAAGAGAACGCTTTTGTGCAAATTTACTCATCAAGTTTACTTTGCCTTCTCCATATACATTTATCTCAGTTCATTCTAACATTGACTTTTTAAAAAATGGAATAAAATCTCAACTAAAGTATAAATTCAGTAGAGGAAGACATCATGTGTTTTATTCATAATCACCCAACAATCGGCCTGATAAACAGCAGGCACTCAAAACCATGCAACAGATGTACTGGTGAACAGTGAAGGGAACTCCAAAAAGTGTGTTGCTGAGATCACACGGTTAGTAAACACCATCTGAACTTACACCTTAATTTGGCTGACTCCAAAGCCCATAGACCATGTTTTTTGTTTTCTGTTTTATAAAAAATAATTATTATTTTGTCACAAATTATAACTCATATAATAAAGAAGCTGAAAAGAAATAACTACATACGCTTTTTATTCAGAATTTCATATATGCACACAATGTACTTTGATCAAATACAGTCCCCATTCCTCCCCCTCCACTTCTTTTGTACTGTGTTTTAATTAGCCTGTCTAAAACTTAGGTTTCATCAAATACAAGAGATACTGGGAATAACTAGAATAAAGTGAAAAGAGCTCATTATGGTAATCTCAACTTCAATGAGTCTTATAGGTGAAGAATCTAAAAGTGCTTCCTAGAGGTTATCAAAAGCAAATTAGGAAAAACAAACAAACAAGCTGGTCGTATGAATTAGCAGAAGGCCTTTCAAGTACAGGGTATGGCACAGAAAGTAGCTAGAAATAAGTAGCTCCCAGATGTATTCCTACACTAGGGCATGAAACATGAGGATAACATGTTCAAAGCCAGTTTGGGCTTCACAGCAAGACCCTATCCAGAAAAAGAAGGCAGGGGCTAGGGCAGAAAGACTTTCATCTTAGGTACACAAAACGTTCCCAGGAACAATGAGTAATAGTAAACCTGACAATGTAGCTTTCTATTCACATCTTTTATATGGGGCTGGAAAGTAAAAGGTTCAGTAGCAACTATGGAGGTGGAAGGTTATCAAAAACTGTCACTGTAGAAATACAAAGAATGCATCTAATTTAGAAGAGGGTCAAATCCATACGCTAAGGAACAGTAACAAACTAAGTACTTGGTAATAGCTGCCTGTTCCCCTAATTGGAGTACTAATTGCATACAAAGAAGTACAGCATAAATATAAGCTACATATAAAAGTCAAGTAACATTAAGCTTAAGTCCTTAGATGTAGCAATAAGTTATTGAAACCATTTAACCTCTAAAAGAATTAAGACCTGGAGTAGGGGGAGGGAAAGTGCAGAAAAAAAAACAAACAACTTTATAATGAAACATGAAGGAATACTGAAAGGTTAAATAATGGGATGTTGCCAATTTTGCTAAATCAGAGATTCACATTCACATTCTCATGTAGCCCAGGTTAGCCACAAACTACGTAGTTGAGACTACCCTGAACTCCGGGCCCTCCTATTTCCACCTCCCACTTGCCTGGACTGAAAGGAAGCATGACCACACCCAAGATTTGGATTAAATTCCATACACACATGCCAAAATTCATATGCTCTCGGTTTCTTTAAAAGTCTCTTGAACAAGAGCTGATCATCCAGGCCTTTTTTAAGCAAAACAAAGAACAGCCAGTGTGTGGTTTGAAAGCGATCCCGCACAGTCTTGGCATGCTTGGTCTGGAGTTGGAGGCTCTTTGGGGAAGTTGGAAGCTGGAGGGGGCTCTGGGAGTTTAACAGTGCATATAGAACCTGCTCCAGCGTCTGCTTTCAAGCCACGGTGTGAGCCCTGAGCTGCTGCTCCAGCTTGCTCATCTGCGGCTTGCTGCCAATGCTTTCCTGTCATGATGGACTCCTATCCCTCTGTAACCTTAACCCAAGTAAATCCTTCTCTAAGTTGCCAAAGACATGGTGTTTCATCACAGTTTAGAAAAGTTAACTAATATAGTAAGTCAGCAAAAATTTTAAACACCTCACCAATGACAAAAGATATCTAATTATTCAGGAGATGAAGCAGACAGACACTACTCTCTACTGCTTTACAGAAATGCTTACCTAAGCAGTTTATGACCATTTGTTGTAGCCACTTCAGCAAGGCTTGTCAGAATCTTTAGGTACTGGCTTTCACTCTGCTGAGACAAGTGCTCCAGAACTTGTCGTAACTGGTTTGATATCAATTAAAAACAAAGTGATTACACATCATTAAGTTCTTTCAAAATGCACACATATACTAGTTTAATAAATACCTTGAAACCAGCAAACTAAAATCAGGAACTTTACAGTTAGTTTGCTTTACATAAACTTAAGAGCTAATAAGGAAAAATTTTTTAAATTATCCAGTTAAAAAGATACACAAGGGAAATCAAATATATACGCAGAAATTTAATTCTAAACTTCTAATGTTTACAAAGGTTCCCAAGTCTGCAACTTTTCCATGAGTAACCCTATTAAAAACACTAATCTCGAGCTGGGGATGTAGCTCAGCAGAATTCAGGAGACCCTGGGTTCATATCACAGGACCACAAAAACAACAGGAAAACGAGCTCAGTGAGCAAGTGGTCACTGGTCATTACACAACGTTCCTCCTTCACTTCCTTTTCCTCTACCCATGAAGAAGAGTTATCTTAAGGAGAGACCAAAGAGCCAGACAAATGATCCAGAGGGCCAAACATCAGACAAGATACACTGTTATATACACTTACTCAAAATTCCTGGTACCCAATTACCATTTGTCCCCACATACCCAAAACTTATAGATGCTCAAGTATTTTATATAAGTGCATATATTTAGTTCATATTCTCTTATTAACTTGAAATCACCTTCACTTAATTTATCATGCCTAATAAAATGAAAGTGCTATGTAAATAACTATTATATCATATTCTTTAGGAAATAATGGCAAAGAGTCTATCCAAGATTAATTATAGTATTTTTGATCAACAATTGATTGATTTTTGGCCACCGAATCCCCATATACTAAGGGCTAACTATAATTCATAGTTACATAATGTACAACAAACTCAAGTTACTAAAACAATCATGACAACAGAATTACTATTATTCATTTGCAACCTAATAGCAAACTTAAGCTACCATGTTTTCCCGAAGGTCTTCATTCTGTGTCATTTGAACAATAGTCTGGAAAAGCCTTGGGTGATACTGAATTAATACTTCGCAAGTCTCTCCATATCCACCCTAAAAGCAAGATTCACAATTACTCACGTTGAAAAACAAACTTTTAAATATCATAATTTTCACAGGCCAAACATCTTTGCACTCTCATTTACGAAAAACATGATTTGTTATTTATAATTTCTATCATAAATGGGCTCATAATAATATATTAAAAGCATACCTGCACACATAAATCTAGAGGGGTTACTCCATTTTTATCTGGTAAATATTTGGCTCCTCGTAACAGAAGAATCTGTGCAGTATCTCTCTGACCATGACTGCATGGAAATAGAACCAAATTAAAAATCTAATCTTTTTTTTAAATTTTATTTTCCAGTTTAAATTTAGATAAGAAACAAGGTTGCTTCACAAGTCAGTTCCAGGTCCCTCTCCCATTCCCTCCCTTCCTTCCGTGCCCTCCCCCCAACCCCCCTCCCCCCGTTATCCCCTCATTTCCCCAGGGAGGGTGAGGCCCTCCATGGGGGTGTCCATAGTCTGTCATTTCATATAGGGCAGGGCCTAGACCCTTCCCCAAGAGTTCAGGGTGAGAGTGCACCTCACATTGTTCTATGGGAGTCCAAAGTCCGTGTGTATACTTGGGATGGGTACTGATCTGCTGCCCAAGGCTCAATAGATTCCCTAGGCCTCTTCACTGACACCCAGATTCAGGGGGTCTTGATCAGTCCCATGCTGGATTCCCAGGCTGATGCCTGGGATTCAAGAGTTAACCTTTGTCTGGTCAGCTGTTTCTGGGGGTTAAACCAGCCCAGTCTTAATCCCTTTGATCATCAGTCCTCCCTCTCTGTTACTTGTTCTCTATAAATGAGATCACTAGTCTCCTCTACAGAGGCACATTGCTTCACAGAAATAAAGACTACACAGATTTCCAAAAATGGAAACAAATTAAAAAACAACCTCATTGTTGTATTTCAACTAAATTTTACTGTAAAAAAAATAACTTACAGCCAATTTGAATTAAACACTCATGGTGTCCTACTATGAATCTAGTGCCACAAAGAACAATTATAATAGGTTTTATTATTCTGTTGATAATCTATAACAGTAACTACCTTCGCTGATATATGTACCAAGGGACCAGAGCTAACTTAAGAATAGCATATAGAGGGCTAGCTAGAGAGATGGCTCAGCAGTTAGGCTGCTCTTCCAGAGGACCTGTGTTCAATTCCCAGTATCTACATAGAGGTTCACAACTGAGTGAAACTCCAGTTCCAAGGTCCAAGGGATACAATACACAATACACTCTTCTGCCCTCTGTGGGCACAAAGCACTTAAGTGGTATAGTGATGTACATTCAGGCAAAACACCCAATAGATAAAATAAATAAATAAAACTTTAAATAATAGTGCACAAAACATACAAGAAAAAAAGACAGTACATCAGTCCTCTGAAAACAACAGTAATTAGCATTACTATTAATGTTCAACAAGAAGAGTCTCACTCTATATTCCAGGCTGGTCCCAAACTCAGGGCAATTCTGTCTCAGTCTTACATCTGTAACATAACAGGCCTCAAACAGGAGGCTCAGAAGTCTTCATCAGGCATCAGTGTTATTAAACTGGTAGTGCCAGGAAAACATTACACAGCTATTTTAACAGTGGTTAATTCATGCTGTCCTATGCTAGCCTGCTCTTTATCATGCCCAAAAATAAAACCTGAAAGTAATGAAGGTAAGATTAATCTATGTTAGAAGACAGTGACTCTCTGTAGTATAATTGGTTTTATAAATGTTATCAAATTTCAATAATTTTACAATTGATTAATGTCCATGTGTTCAATCTTTCCAATTAATCTGTCAATTTTCAATTTTTTTACATTTATTTTGTATGTATGTTTTCCCTGCATATATGTGTGCACCATGTATGTGCCTTGTGCCCTCAGAAGTCAAGAGGAAGTCAGATCCTTCAGAACTGAGCTACAGATGGCTGTTAGCCCCCATGTGGGTGCTGGGAAACTAACACTGGTCCTCTGTAAGAACAAGTGCTTGTAACTGCTGTGTCATCTCTCCAGCCCCTGAACTGTCAATATCTAAAGAGTCACTAGTTCAACAACATCAAGAATGGTAGTTGACTTATAACATGTACACATCACATTCTATAAATTATACTATAAGCTTTAACTTAGTATTTCATACACTTGATAGACAAGCATTAAAGAATGAATGATACAGAAAAGCAAGTAGAAACCTAAAACAACTTCCTATAATATAGCAGGTCACAAATATTGTCTCAGTCCTCTGTCTCCAGGGACACTTCTTTAACAGTTGTCAAATAGGCAGGAAACCATTATCCTAAAACTGTACCTGTACTTGAGCTCCTAGGAAACAAACTGCAACCTAACAGTAAATAAGCAAGTACAAGTGCACTGGTCATAACAAATATTCAGATGTGACAGGATGTGTGTGTGTGTGCACTTACACGCGCACCACATGTGTTCATCCACACTTCCTAGTTCTTACATAATTCCTTGTTATATCTTAAATAACTAGAAAAGTAAGGTTGAAGGAGTTTTGGAACAATCAAGTAAAAGGCACTTATTTGCTAGAATGCTGGGACCAAAGCTCTTCAGTACTCTATGGCCCTTCCTAACCCTGCTCCTTGTTTCCTAAAAGCAAACTTCCCTAGGTGAGTCACAGAAGCTAAACCTGTACTAGTGCTCTGACATTTTTCTGCTCTATTTGAGCAAGGAGCCAGCACAAGATCCCCTTTCAGAAGGTGCCCAGCTGTTACCCAAGAAAAAAGGATGCTCTCCAAAAGGCCATGAAGACTCTACACAGACACACCCTGCTGGGATTGCCACCGTGTCCTAATATACTAAGTCACAGTCCTTTCGGGCCAATAACACTTTCATTGTCCATGTTTCAACCTTGCCAACACAATGAAGTTTCCATTTAAAAGAAAAAGTCAGGACTTGAAGAACTTATGGTTAGCGAGAAGAAGGTAGTTGACAAAGAAGCCATCCAAGTGCCCTGAGGACAGTGCCTCTCAATTCTACAAGAACTGAAGCACCTACGCTTGAGAGCTTCCAGACCTTGCCTTCCGGGTCTCTGTGCCTGGTGCTTACTTGTGTCCCTTAAAATACCTTTCAGAACACAAACACGGTGTTGCCCTGAGTCCTCTGTGCCACTCTAGCAAATTACCCAAACCCAAGGAGGCAGTCCTAGGAAGCCCAGCCAGCAGCCAATTCAGAGACTGCATATGGTGCCAAGTCCCTAAGTGCAGAGAATTCTACTGGGACGAGCCCACACTTGTAGGATCAGACACCGTCAGCCAATAGTTGGTGTAAGACCTGTTCAACTGTTGGCCACTGCATAATCAAGTGTTGGCTCCTGGTGGGGAGGAAAACGCCTCATCTGTGTGGTAAGTGGGACAAACTGTGTTTTACCCCATATTCACAGATTAGGTTTCAGCCAATCCATCCAATCATGCTCAGATAAGCCCAAAGCACTGCTGCAGCCACTCAGGTCATCATCCACATTTAGCCTGAGAGCTCACTGTGCAGACACTGGTAGCATACAGCTCTCTGAATCACTTCTGGTTTGAGTACTATCCAGTTTATGAAGTGCTCTCTGTGCAAATCAACTGTGCTTAATCTGATCTGCCTAAGTTTCTTTTGAAAAGGTTCACCCACTGTTTCAAGAGAAAATGCAATTGCTGAAGAACAACAATTAAATAGTAGATACATCAATTTGTTTCTTAAAGCCTCCATATAAAATGTTTTGCCACATACAGCAAAACCAACTATTAGCATGAGGGCTGAAGAGACAGCTTGGGGGCTAAGAGTTATCTAGACTCGGTTCCCAGGCCACCTATGTCAGCTGGTTTACAATGCCTGGAACTCCAGGGCCAGAGGGTTCCAACACCTATGGTACCTGCAGGCACTAGCACTCTGGTGATGTATGTGGGCACACACACAATTTAAAGTAAAGTAAATCTTGGGGCTGGAGAGATGGCTCCACAGTTAAGAGCATTGGCCACTCTTGCAGAAGATCGGGGGTTGGTTCCCAGCACCCACATAGTAGCTCCCAGTCATCTGTTACTGGAGTTCCAGAGAATCTAATGCCCTTTTCTGACCTAGGACCTAGGCACTCACATGATACAAACACATAGAAGCAGGCAAAACACACATAAAATTTTTAAATCTTTTTAAAAGAAAATTATAGAAATAATTTGTTTTAAAAAAGAATACCTAGCATAAAAGAAAACAAAATGCCACTACAACATTTTGAGAAAGCTGAATTTCTAAAACTACCTAACGATCACACTTACAATGCAGTGACATTTCATTTCAAACATGGATTAAAACCAAAAAGCAACTGCTTGTAACATAAAAAATGTGAAGAGCAATTAGTGCTCCAAGTGCCATATATGTAAAACTGTAACAGTTTACAACTATCCTATGACAGAGCTGCAGAGTTGTAAATCCAATTAAGAGATACAGAAAGAATATTTTAATTTTTGAGACAGGGTCTCACTATGTAGCCCCAAAAGGCCTGAAATATGCTTTGTAAACCAGGATAGCCTTGAATTACAGAGATCCACTTGCCTCTGCCTCTTGATTACTGAAACTACAGACCAGCGCTATCATGGCCAGCTTTTTTTAATTACCAGCTGTTTTTAATAGCCATCTTTATAACTGTATCCATCCAGCTTTACAATTATATCCACTAAAATACACAGAAACACACAAGATGATATGTAATGCTTTGTAGCTAAGATACGAATGGAGTAAGAGTAAGCTCAATGGAAAGCGCTGCAGTGTATTTTGAAGTTACCCACACACTCTACCCCCAGTAGGTTGATGTTTTGAACAGTTGACTATATTTTAGCATTATTTGGGGGCACAAAGAATTTTTAAGCCAAATAATAAGGGAAGTTTACTGAATAAGCAATTATTTTTTATAAAAAATTAAGGGTAGTTTTATATGGATATACAATATTTCTATTAATTCTATACTTTAATACATATCTTCCTCCTAAACCTTCCAGGCCCTCCCCGAAATTTCATGTCCTTTTCTTTTCTTTTTGTTATTTTATTTCAATAACGCATTGAGTTCAACATGTGCCAACGACATACTCTGGGTGTGGAACTGTCCAGCACAAAGTAGTCAGCCTACGAGGGGTCACACCGTTAAAGAAAACTAACTCACTCCCTAGAAAGACTCATTTTTATACTGATTGAGATAATACTCTTTATAAGAACATGATAGTACAAGGAATAAATAATTTTAAAACAATCTTTTAAGAATATTCTAGTATTCAGTTCTACGTGCTAATATAATGTTGCATTAACTTTTTTAATTCATTGTTTTGCATGTAACTAGAAGGATTCACTCACAAACACACATATCTCAGTACAAAATACTTACAAATGTTAGAAAGGGTGGGCACAAAAAAACACTCTTTTTGCTTTCACTGAAGTGGAGATAGACTACAAACAGTAAATAAGTAGGTGGAAATTACAAAATGCTCTGAAGACAATACTATGATACAACAACAGCAAATTTGATAAGAGATCTATTTAAATTGATCAGAACTGTGCTTCTAAAAAGCCACTTAAAGTCAGGTGTTCTGGTCAGTTCTTACTGTCAATGTGACACAAGCTAGAGTTCAATTAAGAAAATGCCTCCATTAAATATGATGTAGGCAAGTCTGTAGGGCATCATCTTAAACTAATGATTGATACGAATCTGACCTGTGCAGTTCACTATAGGCAGAGTCACCCTGGGCTGCTGGCCACAGGTGGCGAGTAACAGCAGGCTGAGTGAGCTATGAAGAGCAAGCCAGGAAAGAGAGCTCCTCCAGAGTCTGATTCAGTTCCTGCCTCCAACTTTCTGCCTCCCATTTTTCTTTGGCTTTCCTTAATGTACTGTATGACCCAGCATATGTAAACCAAATAAACCCTTTCTTTCCCAAGTGCTTTTAGTGTTTTATCACAGCAACAAAAACCACACCGTGACACCAGGTTTGGCAATACAGGTCTGTAATCCAAGCACAAGGGAGGCAGAAGCATGAGGATCACAAGGTTGAGGCCAGTCTGGATCAAAGATCTCTTTGCTGAGGAAGACACTTACTAAAGGGGAGCAAAAGTGGAGTCAGAGAGCCTAGGTAGATTTGAAAGTCATTTTAAAGAGAGTCTAGAGACACAGAACCTGTTCTGAAGGCAGACTTTAAAGAACTTACTATTAAGAATAGGGTCCAAGTTCAGAGTCGGAGAGTACTAATAAATAATGATCTGACTTCTGCAATAAATAAGGAGGATGTCAACAGGCATAAGAAAGATACAAAGAGAAAACTAAGATGCTATATTCTGGCCATGTTAAAGTCTGAGATTTTTATAATACAACTGGCCTGTTAACAATCAAATCGGGCGCTTCAAAGGAATATCTAATCTAAAAATAAACAGCCAAGATAGAATATGGGAAATTTTTTTTTTTTTTGGTTTTTCGAGACAGGGTTTCTCTGTAGCTTTGGAGGCTGTACTGGAACTCACTTTGTAGAACAGGCTGGCCTCGAACTCACAGAGATCCGCCTGCCTCTGCCTCCCGAGTGCTGGGATTAAAGGCGTGCGCCACCAATGCCCGGCTGGGAAAATTTTTAAAAGTAAATGGGATGGAGAGATGACTCAGCAGTTAAAGGCACTGGTTGCTCTTCCAGAGGAACCAGGTTCAATTCCCAGCACCCAATGGTGGCTCACAACAGTTTGTAACTCCAGTTCCAGGGGATCTGACACCCTCTTCTGGCCTCCCAAGGCACTTCACACACATGGTATATAGATAGATATACAGGCAAAACACCCATACAAAAAAAAATCATAAATAAGATGTTCAAAAATTTTTAATCTTAAAAGGTAGAATATTATTCCAGAAACCCAAGCAAATATTTTCCATAAATTCATGTCATCATGGAATTGATTATCAGCCAATCAAATCTTAAGAATTAGACACTACTGAACTCAGACATGAACTAAAACACTAAAAATAAAAAACTTCTTGTACGGCTGACCTGACAAAGGTTAACTCTTGAATCCCAGGCATCAGCCTGGGAATCCAGCATGGGACTGATCAAGACCCCCTGAATCTGGGTGTCAGTGAGGAGGCCTAGGAAATCTATTGAGCCTTGGGCAGCAGATCAGTACCCATCCCGAGTATACACACGGACTTTGGACTCCCATCCAACAATGTGAGATGCACTCACCCTGAACTCTTGGGAAAGGGTCTAGGCCCTGCCCTATATGAAATGACAGACTATGGACACCCCCATGGAGGGCCTCACCCTCCCTGGGGAAATGAGGGGATAATGGGGGGGGGGGGTTGGGGGAGGGCACAGGAGGAGGGAGGGAAAGGGAGAGGGCCCTGGAATTGACTTGTGAAGCAACCTTGTTTCTTATCTAAATTTAAACTGAAAAATAAATAAATAAAATAAAAAACCTCTTGTACATAAAAGCCCCTTGAATATAACAGCTTCATTAAGTTTCACAATTCACACAATTTAAATTTAAAAGATCATATACATAGAGGTCATATTTACATACTTAGGAAAGAGACAGGGTGGAGAGAGAGAGAGAGAGAGAGAGAGAGAGAGAGAGAGAGAGAGAGAGAGAGAGAGAGAGAGAGAGTGTAACAACAATCAAACAAAAAGAGGCCATTGTTTTTGAGAGAGGACAAGTAGGGTTGCATGGGAGGGGATGGAGTGAGGGAAGGATAGAAATGATATGATTGTATGATTGTAATTTTAAAAAATAATATATATATATATAAAATATATAAAAGAATCACTACAGTGCTTTGGAAACAGCCTCATATAAAGGGTTTCAGAATGTTGGAGAGAAAGCTCAGTAGCTAAAAGTATGTACTGCTCTTGCAGAGGACCTGAATTCAATTTCCAGAACAGCAGGTCAGTGACAATCACCTCTAACTAGAGCTCCAGGGCATCTGACACCCTCTTCCGACCTCCACAGGCACCTATCATTATGTGTACATACCGCCATGGACGGACACACAATTAAGATTGATAAAATTAAAATTAATAGATGATCTGTATCAGTCTGATCAAGGGAATATCAGAGACATCAAGGAGAAACAAGAAAAAGGTACATCTTTCTGTTGAAAATTAACTTCTAGCAAAATGATATAAAGATGGCTCAGAACATAAGAGTGCTTGCTGCTCTTGCAAAGGATGCAGGTCCAATTCACAGCATTCATATGACAGGTAACACCTGTCTGTGACTTCATTCCAGAAGATGGGACACCCTCTTCTGGGCTCCTCAGATACCAAGCATTTACAAAACACCCATACACATAAAATAAAAATAAATAATTTTAATTGATATAAAAAAGGGTGAGAAATTTCTAGAATCTCTATAAAAATCTAAATGAGTGAATATTACAACTGACATGTAATTAGCCATTGTCACATATAATTAGCCATATTGACAGACTGAAAATACAGTCACACATATAACAGTTGTACCGGTACTTAATATGTACAAACTTATCTCTTATCATTACTCAAACAACACAGTAGAATTATCTGCACAACATTTATAGTAGATATAGATAATAAGAGATGATTAAGCTATGGAGAAAGATTATATATAAATACTTTGGCGTTTTACATAAAGAACTTTATATTAGATTTAGCTATTCATCAGGGGAGGGAAGTTGTTCTAGAACCAATCCCCAAGTATACCAAGGGACAACTATAGGACTATAGAGCAAAAAGAATCATTGTAGTAGTTCTCTACACTGTTCCTAACTACAAACTACATCTATTATGACATATTACAAGCACATAGAGGTATATTTGAAAGGGTACAAGTGTACATATATAATTATTATATTATTCCCCAGGATTTGCTTTGTGTTGCTGGTGTTGGGTTGGCTTTTTCACTGCCCTGGTGCTGAGAATGATAGAACAGCCTTGCCAGTGCTAGGCAAGTCCTCTACAAGACTTTACTAGAGTTAGAAAACAAATGAGCAGGTGAAGAAAAATAACCAAGAAGTAGTGAAAAAACAGAATACATTACACATACCAAGTCATATTCAACAGTTTATGCCAAGGGAACAGATCTAGGTATTTAATCAGCTATGGAACTCACTGGATTACTGCTCAGTCCTAAAACTGAAGTAGTCAAGTAAAGAAAAACAGCTCTACCAGTAAGATCAAGGCACTGGCAACCAAATGAAATGCTGAGCGTAATGACTCACACTTAGCCCCAGCATTATGGAGACGGGAAGAGGACTTGAAGTTGAGGTCAGCTATGAGCTACACTGTAGAGTTTTACACAAGCCTGGGCTATAGAGAAGATCTTATCACAAAATAGCAATGATGACATTAACAGAAAATGCTTTCTCTCCTGCAATTAAGTAACAGAGTATTTATCATGCTCAATGACAGCAAAGCATCGGTGGGAAAATAAGAGAGCTTGAGAAAACATACACAAATATTTGTGTGAGAATACAGTTAAGGACAGCATGTCTGAAAACACAAAGCGTCATACCTGCAGGCAAAGTACAGTGGAGTGGCTCCTGACACGTTCGGCCTGTTGATATCCGCACCACTGTCTAACAAGCACTGCACCGTCTGTGGGGGGAAAGGTTAAAAGTAAAGCCACGGAGTCAAACCAAAGACACAGTTACTAGAATTTTAATACACCTAAGAATTCTTTCCACAATTTGAAGCTTTAAAAAGAAAATGAATGTGCAGTCTCATGATGTGTGATGGTGAACAAACCCAACCCTATAAAAAGCTCACTGACACTTGGGTACTCCATGATCTGTGTGGAACGGTCAGTGTGACACAAAATGTGCTGCCTGGAAAACCCTCAATCATAGGACAGTCAACAGTCACTGGACTACTCAGACTCGAAAGGTGGCTAGTGAAACCAAGGAAGTGAAATTTTATTTATAACTATTTAATGTTGCAAACTATGTAAGACTAGCTATCTGGACACGTACTTTTAGATATCTAAATTTTAAAACTAAAACTTTTTACCTCTTGCAGAAAAAAAAAAGGACACAGAGCTGCAGTTCTCCCAAAGCCCGAGTATAATTGTTATACAACATGTTAAAAGCAAAGAAGCCCTTTCCCAATCAACAAGACTCCAGCCTGGCTCAAATTCTCTGAAACTCAATCATATGTACCCTCTCCCCTATAGTCGTCTGACTCCTACCAAGAGAAAAGGAGTTCACACAAAATCATAAAACTACCCAACTGAGATTCAGGACAGAACAAAGCCCGCCTGAAAAACCTCAAAACTAATGTTTTCTAATTTTACTTCTATGGTCCTCATTTGAGTTTCTCCTGGTGGGGGAGGAGGGTGGGTGCCAGGACAAAGAAAGCATATAATGACATTAAAAATGACACAGCTTTGGAATGAAAGCTTTTTAATATTCCTTGTGGATTGGCCATACATATTGGTGCTCCAAACCCTAGTCCTAAATCAATACAAAATCACAATGTACACCCACACAGGAGAAAGCAGAAAGAAGACAAGAGCACAGTGAGCCGGGCAGCAAGTTGTCCACTGTGAGCATCTGGCAATACCAGGAGATATTCTGATTCTTATGACTAGGGAAGAGAGGATGCTATTGGTTAGCTAGTGAGTTAACATCAGAATATAGAAAAAAATTACACCATTTGCTGGCAGCAGTCACACACACAAAAAAATGAGAACAAAATATGGACAGTGTCACTAGACACCTCGGTGTTACAGCTAAGCCAGGCAATAATAAATTCATTCCGCATACAATGTTCCTAGTCAAGGCCCCTTAGTAGTTTACTATTAAATATGAACAGACAGACAATATTTAAAATACAACTAAAACAAATGTCAAACCTGGAGATAAAAAAAATCAAATAAAAACAAAACTCAGAAAAATAGAGAAAATAAAGGGAGCCACAAGAAAAAAAAATGTCTGTGCCTAACCAAGTGGTCCATGCCTACAGCCTCAACTCTCAGGAGGTGAACTAGGCTGTCCCAAGTGTGAGGCCAGCCTGGGCTACAAAGCAAGTGTTGGAGGTTGGCATGAACTATATAGCAAAACCCTGTCTCAAAAAGGCAGGATGGATGGAGGGAGAGAGGGACAAGAGGAGGAGAAGGGAATAAGATACACTTTAAAGGGGAGAAAATGGATTTTAACCATGGAACAAGGGTAGGAAATTTAGAAAACAAGAAAATTCACAATTTTATAGAAGAAATAGCAATCCCACTAACATTTAGAAAGATATGGTGTGAACAAGTTTGAAGAACTGTAGCAAAGTAAGATCAATGTGAAATCCCTAGTAGGAAGTTCAGACTAATACTAAACTCCATAAATGTAACACTGGAATCATTTTTTAAAGCCTTCAAGTTTTTGTTTTTTGGGGGGTTTTGTTTGTTTGTTTGTTTGTTTGTTCAAGTCAGGGTTTCTCTGTATAGCTTTGGAGCCTCTCCTGGCACTCCCTCTGTAGACCAGGCTGACCTGGAACTCACAGAGATCCACCTGCCTCTGCCTCCCAAGTGCTGGGATTAAAGGAGTGCACCACCAACACCTGGCACCTTCAAGTTTTTAAATTATTTCAAAAGTATAAATCTCTAGTCATTCATGCTAATACTCAAATATATGGCCAAAATGTACTTGCCTATATTATTTTTTCATAACTAAAATACTTCTTTCTCAAAAGTAGAAGCTAGGGGACCCTTTGCTACCCCCCCAAAAGGAATTAAGACAAAAAGCAGACTATATAGAAACCAAAATTTAAAAAAAATTCAACACAGAAATGTTCTAGATTAGGGAAAAAACAGAATTGGCAAGTTATCTAACAAACTTGTCTTTGTAGACAACAGCACTGTGACATTACAGGGAGATATAACACACCCATAACACATCATACAGCACACCACAGAGACACACATAACACATCACATGACACACCACAGACACACCCATAATACAACATATAGCACACCACACAGACACACACAACACATAACACAACATACCACAGACACACCCATAATACATCATACAGCACACCACATAGACACACACAACACATCATACAACATACAGACACAGACGCATAAAGTCAATTACTAACTTGAAGAGTCTAATGACTGGCCTTTATCAAATTTTCTCCATAGGGTTCAGGAAAAGAGGTAAAAAGACTATAACAGCCAAGGGGATGGAAAGCACCAAGAAAACAGTGTCTTTCAGACATAACAGGACTGATGCACATATAAACTCAGGCACTGGCAGCAATTACAGGGGTCTGCACAGGGGTCAAGTCAGATGGGGTCCCAGCACTGGGAAGGAAAGTAGACACAAGCTCCTAACCCTAACCCAGAAGCTATCTCCCACTGACAACTGCTTGCCAAAGAAAATTTAGTTTTCTCCAAAGAAATTTCACTGGGGATATTAACCACTTAAGGATAGGTCCCATGCCGTGCAGTAAATGACCAACACAGAATGAACTCAATGGTATTTTTATAGATGTCTACTCTCAAATTGCTTCTTGGGGATATTTTTTGCCTTACTGAGCTTTCGCTTACATATTACAGTGTTTTTATGAATTTTGCTTTTGTGTGTGCATGCATTCTGTGTTTCTTGTGTTCCTGTTGTTATTCTCCAATTGCTTTGTTTGTTTTCTAAAAAGAAAGAAAAAGAAAGGGAGTGAAGTTGAGTGGGCACAGAGGTAGGAAGGATCTGGGAGGAGCTAGGAGAGAGGAAGCTGTGATCAGAATATATTGTACGAAAAATAATTTTCCAATAAAATATATTTTTAAAAGTGTTTACAACTTGACTCATCAGCAAAAAAAATTACTTAACAATATATAAACTAACACTGCCTAAAGAAAATGTGTAAATCCATAAAGAAACAATTAATATACAAGTGTCAAAAGCTGAAAAACAGCCATATCAACTTATTATATGCACCAAAGACAAGCTTAAAACTTGAATTTCACCATTTCCGGTGACCTTGGTTAAAAGAAAGAGAGTTTAAGGAACTATCATGATTTTTTTTTAAAGATTTTGGTAAAAGACTTAAAGGTAGCCAGTCTACCTGACAACTAAGGTACACAGCAGTAAGAGATGGCTTTACCTGCACCCTCCTCTGGCCTCCACGTAAGCATGCATAAGTATACACAGCATGCACATTTGGGTCCCTGCTTATCAAGAAAGGGCTTATATGAGCATTTTGGCCAAAACCTCTACTTTCGTATTTCTACCCCAACAGCTGCATCTGATCTCAAAGCAGGAGTGAGATGGGCAGCAGTTAGTGTTCACTACATTACAGAATTACAGAAAATGAACAATCTCCCAGAAGATTCAAGAGTGATGAAAGCAAGTACACTGAAAATACATATTCAGGGCCTAGAGACATGGCTCAGAGATTAAGAGTACTGGCTGCTCTTCCAGAGGACCCAGGTTCCATTCCCAGTACTACAACCATCTCCAAAGCCAGTGCAGGGGAACTGACGCCCTCTTAGTGCACTAGGCATGCATGTGTTGCACGGGCATATGTGCAGACAAAATGCCCATATGGAAAGAAAAGGTTCACATGTACCTCAAACCTAACAACATAAAAGCTAAAATATCAAAATGTACTATTTATGTATATACATATAGTTAAAACTACATAATGGTATAATAATTGAATAACCTTAACATGTACCCAAACACCTATCAATTCATTTAATATTGCCACTTCTGTAAGATAGTCTGTATCCCAAAAGATAATTTGTACTCTATCACACAATAACACAGAGGTTAAAACCTAAGCCCATCATCAAATCATTATCCTATCTTCTAGGAAGCAAAATATCCCAATGTTTTATGAATTCATATTACTCCAAAGTTTTATCATTATAAACTACATTGATTATAGAATGTTATTTACTTTTAAATGTCAACTTGCCATAACTTAGAATCCCCTGGGAAGAGTTTCAATTGACTGCTTTTACCAGGTTGGTCTGTAGAAATGTCTGTGATGGACTGTCTTAAATGCCAATTAATGCAGGAAGACTCACACTGAATATTCACGGCACCATTTCATGGGCTGGGTCCTGAACTGCGGGGAGTGAAGAAAGGTGGCTGAGAAGAAGCAAGCTGGACTGGTGCACTTCCCTCGGCTCTTGACTGTGGAGACTATGTGAGCGGCTCTTGACTGCGGAGATGGTGTGAGCAGAGGTCTCTAGCTCCTGCTGCCATGACATTCCTGAAGTAATGAGTACAACCTGGACTCATAAGCTGAATAAATCACTGCTCACTTCATCTATTGTTTGTCAGGATGGTTCATCTCAGCAGTGTAAGACAAAAAAGAACGTGCCTATGCACTAGTCCTTACCAGTGTCTACAGAGTGGCCAACTAAGAGCTAAAGAGTTGCTTATTTGGTTTTTAAATAAAGCCATTTCTAATGCCATACACTTTTACAGTGCTTCTACTTTTTCATTTATACTATAGAGCTTACAGGATAAAATTAATTTATCCATAGACATATTCCTGTACTATTTTGAATGAAGTGGTTAGACTATCTTCAAGGAAATCATAGCAAAAAAACAAGACTTGCAACACGAATTGTCAATGTTCCTGTCATATCC